TTACACATAAAATGAATGTAATTCAAAACCTCTGATGCAAATGACAGTCTTTTCATTTCGCCGCCAGAAATACCGTTTATCTCATTGTCCATACATTTGTCTAAATTAAACTAATAATTCATTATTATTAAATAATATATACAATTATAAAAATCAAAAATTATTCAAAGTGTAAAATTAAATACAATTCAATATTTTCAGTAAATTATTAAAAATATTAAATTACTTTAGTTGATATTTGTTCAATAGATGCGTTTCGTTGTTCCCTTGTTAGATTTTTATCCATTCGCAATATAGACTTAATGGTATAAAAAAGCTTTAGAGGAGATTTTAAAACAATTTTAAAATAAAGTTACATTACTTGAAATACGAGATGTTCTCTAACTGTAAGCAAGGGATGAAACAAATCGTGTTGTTGTATATATGAGGACAGGGAGGCCATCATTTCCTGATTGATTACCTGTCCATTCAGTAGCACCGATCCTTTAACTGATAGTTTTGATAAGTTTCTCGCAGTTAATACATTCAAAAGTGTGGTCTTTCCGGCGCCGCTGAACACCAGTGAAAATCAATATAAATATTATGAATACATTATTATTAAAATGAGATTGTTGGTTAACGTAATTATTTATTATTCAAACCTGGCGCCCATTATTCCTAACAACTCTCCGCACTTCACTTCTCCAGATACTATTTTTTAATTAAAATAAATGGATTTATAGTTTATTAGATTAATTAGATCATTTAGCAATAATTAAGTTATTAATTTATCTAGATAATGTTTAATTTTTAATTATTTTATTTGAAAATCATACCATTGTTGATGATCTCTTTAGGCGTATCGTTATTGCGATAACAATTAAATAAGTTTTTGTGATGTTTGGCAAACACTTGTATATTAAGCCACGACAGAGATAAACATTTTATCGGCTCTTTTTCCTTTATTATATTATTTAACTCTAAAATTACTCTCATTTTTGATAATTGTTAAATTAAAATCATATACAATTAAAAACAACCAATATCTCAGCATGTACTGATATGTAGAGATGAATATCTGTACTTTATACGTAAAACATTAACATACATTTGGTATAAATAATAGAATTTTATTAGTAAATAATTAATTTTGTGAATGAGTTTGCAATATCAACTATAATAACCAGACTTTATCTTTCATGGAGAATACTACATTTACAAAGATAACAATATTTAGCATTGTCCTTAAAATAAATTTATGTATCTTTTGAATTTTTATAAAAATAATTATATTAAATTTTAAATATAAAATGGGACAACGTTTACTTTGCTTAATAATATGAGTTTCATAGAACTAGAATTGACATATTAACTAACATGTTTTGTAGGCAAAGTTGTTAAATACAGTTATAGCAAATTTCTGCCAATATACAATGTATAATATCTAGTCATATAATATTGTGTTATTTCGTCATAATTAACAAATCACGCACAACTATGATACACCTTAGCCATAAACTTAAACTTAATCTTATAAACCAAATTATTCATAAATAATGAACGGTATTTCCCAAATTTGAAAAATATCTTCCAGGAAAATAGTTTTGCGCCGGAAAATTCTTTATATTCTATAAAATTGGAAAAATAAGACAAAAATGTGGTCAAACGATGACCAATCAATAAATATAAATACTTTTATCGTATTTATTACATGTGCCCTAACATGTTTAAACATAATAAACAGGCAGATTTGGTAAAATCTATTTAATTAATTTAATTTAAATCAATTTGTAAATTATTTTAAAATCAAAATTTGATAATTGCGCTCAAATGATCACGTAATGCTATATGAGTGACAATCAATTCTTTGTTATTCATCAAATACATTATAAAAGTAATTGACTACTATAAGGGGTGAGTTTATATACCAGGAATATAAATAAGGTTATTTTTAAATGGCTGCTAAATTTTTTTGGTTTATGCCATCATATCAATTTAAACACTATTTTATACACTCATTATTCCTCTTTAATTTTCTGTAAAAAAAGTTTCAAAATTATTTCAAAAAGTGATGATTTTGCCCAAATGTTATGATACCAAGAAGATTAAAAAATATGACCTATTTTTGTTTTAAGTTAAAAGTATAATAAATAGACCTGCAGTAACAATATATAAATCCTAAACGATCCATTGTGTATCAAACAATGACATGAATTGATCAAAAGTTTTAAATATTGTGATTATAAGCTCAAAGATCGCAGCCGAACGGCCCGACACCGGGAAGTGGACGATTATGTGCCAAAAGTTCGGGTAGTGTGCGACCCGCGATTTTCACACATGGAATAGTTGGTCAACTTATGCTTATACTGGAAAATAATTTGTGACCATTTAAACAACAAAGGGAGTTTGTTCAGAGGATGTAATTTGACACATACCTAAAATATGCCTATTTTTAGCGTATTTTTGGACCACGTTTTTCGTAAATTGCCCCAAAAAATTTACAGAACTTTGAGTTGGAAGTTTACCCCCACCTACCACATTCTCCCGTTATTCCTCTATAAGATGAGTACTAATACCATTCTCTGTAGTCAGCCTTTATTGGTAGAAATTATAAAACAAAAGTAGTGGTCGAAACAGACATCACTCACTTCTTTGACCTCTAGGGCAGCCATTTTAATCGGGGAGAGGTTAAGGACTTGCTCGAATGATGGTCAATACTAGCCGATAATGATGGCTATTCAATAATTTGAAATAATATTCTGCTTCATAATAAAAAATTTAATTTAAATTTTCCCTGACATTTTCCTGCTATTTCCACTCATGCCTTATATTTTAAATAAGATTATTTTTTATAAATTTTTTATTCTTTTGAAACCATTTATACATGAAAATACTTAAAATAATCAAAATTATTAAAAATATTTTCACCTTGTTCGGCATTTCCATGATTCACTTTTTATTTTTCGTAGTTTCCCTCTATTTTCCGTCTCGACAACATGGGAATCTATGGAAGATATGTTTTTAATGTCTCTCTTTAATGCCTTCTATTTTTAAATGTAAATTAGTTCAATATAATTTTTTTCCAAACAGTTTAATATTATAATAATGTTATTCTTTTAAAGTCATCTTATTGATAATTAGTAAATTAATAAATTATTTACACAGTAATAATTTATTTAATCTGAACTGTAATATCAAATTGTGGAAATGAAGAATACTGTTTTGGTTATTCTATAAAGTTACAAATATTAATCTATTTTTAATATTAAAATTAGTTAAAAATTTCTTTATTAAATACAATGCTTTCAACCAATTTTGGAAACTTTGCGATACTGTTATCCTTTTTAATTCTGTCCGCAATTATAGCCAGTCTTTTGTGTAATTGCTTATCGTTTAGGAGCCGATCGATTGCCGCCAAGAGTTGCCCTGAAGTGCACTTATAGGCGTCCAGACGTACACCGAAACCGAGTTCGTCCACCCGTTGGGCGTTATTGTATTGATCGCCGTAATAGGGAATTATGATCATCGGTTTCCCGGCGGCAAAACCTTCGCAAACTGTATTATTGCCACCATGGGTGATTATCAGGTCCACGAGTGGGACAATCTGTGATTGTGGCAAATATTTCTGACCATACATGTTGTCGGGCAGTTCATAACTGTCATGTAGAGGTCCTTTTGACACAATGAACCGGTGTTCAGATTTAGACAAAATACTCACTAATCTCTTCATATTGTGGACATCTGTGGCCCCCATAGAGCCCAACGTAAAGTATATCAACTTTCCCGTTCTGTTCGCCAACGGCTTCGGTATCTCAAATACAGTCTGACCGCCACCTGAGCTCATAAAATGGTCGAAGCGATAGTTTTTGGGCGGATTTGGACGCATCTCCTGATAGTCCAACTCAATTGGGAACTGATATACGTTTAGATACGGCGACGGCTTAAAGAAATACCCGATTGGCAGCGGTTCGCAGCCTTTGGACACATAATATGCGTTAAACTCTTGCCAAACATCACGAATTACGTCAAAGGCTGCCTCACTGTATGCCTTCCACTCGCTTTTGTCTCCCAGTGCTGGATATCCTGTGCATTATAAATATGTTAAATTTGTTAATAAATTAATGACATACTAATTATATTCAGTACATAATATTTTAATTGTTGTAACATTTGAATCATAACAAACCTGAACCGGCGGGAGGGGTGCGGGGGTCTCGTATGTGCCACAAAGGATTTGAACTATCAACAAAAATCCAGGGCAAGCCCGACAGTTCAATCGACGGCAGAGCAATATGGTAATCGACAACAATAACATCGGGCCTAACATCTCGTATAGTTTGTTCAATTGCAGCGTCCATTGTGGGCACCCCTTTCACCCAATATGGTGTTATATACTTACAATAGGCAAGCATTTTGTCTACAGCACATTTGTCGGAAAATAAACCACTCTGCATTGCTAATTGGCCATGAAAATTAGCAGGGTCTAAACTAGATTCTTGAGATTTATTTTGGGTGCCGTAGAATATCGCTGTAAAGTTTGGGTGGTTTATACCCAACATTCCCCGCCATCGCTCTGTCAGTAGAAATACGACCCGATGTCCGGCAGTCAATAATGTCTCCGAAAGGGCTAACGAAGGGTTCACGTGTCCGACGGCATCGAGCGGTGCAAAAAGTGCAGTCAATTTTTGATCAGACATTTTTTATTTCAACAAAGTATTTTTTAATAAATGAACAGTTATTTTCTAAAATAATTTTTACACATAATACAGTATTGATTTTTTATAAGAGAAGTTTTAAGAATTTTATCAAAATAAATTTAATAAAAAATAATTTTTACATTGAGAATGACATAGGTATATTTTATAAATTATTGCAATTCATTATACATGAAATAATCAATCGTGGAATAGTTTAGTAAATTGCTGATTGTAACTAAAATTGTGACTATTCTTAACGAATGAATTATTAAAAAACAAACAAAAGTATTTCAAAACATTAAAGGCTTTCATTACCTAAAACTTAATATAATTTACTAGAATTAATGGCAGTAATGTATATAAAAATGTTATTTCCAATGTTACTATTACTGATGGGTATGTGTGGGCCCGCATCGGGTGATTGGGTGGAAGTCTGGAGGGATGACTTTAACGGCAATTCGTTAAACTTGAGTAATTGGAAGTTTGAAACAGGAGGCGGAGGTAAATTAAATACTAATTATACATTAATTTGTGTATAAATCTAAACTTAATTATTATTCGACATTGATAAAATAATGAAAGGCTGGGGCAACAACGAGCTCGAGTATTACACTAATGGCCAGAACGCGGACGTATGCAACGGCTCGCTCACTATAACGGCAAAGGTGGAAAATGTCGGTTGTGAAAATTTCACATCAAGCAGGCTTAATTCAATACCATCGTGGACGTACGGGTATTTCCAAGCCCGGGCTAAACTGCCTAAAGGCAAAGACCTGTGGCCCGCCATTTGGCTTTTCCCACAGAACAACACATACGGCCTTTGGTAATGAAATGCAATTAATTTTATTATATTTCAAAACACAGTACATGTACATTTAAATTATATCCTATATAGTAGCAACAGGTCAGAAGCATATAATATTTTAATGTTTTGTAATTTATATTAGGGCTTAAATATTTTTAAACAATTATGTAAAATTAACTAAATTTACTGCTTACAACATTTATCACGTTTATCATAAATGATATTAAAAAAGTGAAGTATTAACCACGTTAATTTTGTTTCAGGGCGGCCAGCGGTGAGATCGACATCATGGAGTACAAGGGCCAAGTGGTTGACACAATTGAGGGTACTATATGGTACGGCGCAAAGTCACCGAACGAGGTATTTATGGGCAGCGGCCACAAGTCATTTCCTATTGACTTTAGCGCCGACTATCACGTGTTTGGCATGCAGTGGACTAATACGTTCATCAGTTGGCTGCTGGACGGCCAACAATACTACTCAGTTAGTATAAATGGTAACTTGTCTTCCGGTGCCCCGTATACGGCCAATGGCCAGCCCTTTGATCAACCTTTTAATTGGGTTCTGAATGTTGCCGTCGGCGGCAACTATTTTCCGGTCAGTTGTTACGGTCCGGTCGTCACACCAGCGCTGGCCAGTCAATGGCCGCAACCATATATGCAAATTGATTACGTGAGTGTTTCGCAGTGGCAAACGAGTGACGCTGATATTGTAAGCAATGAAAATGTTGACACTGGAAGTGGTGAAGGAAGGCAAAAATTTAACTTATGCTAATCTGTTATAAACTTTTTCAATTAGTATTTCAATTTTTATAATATATAGTAATTAATTGAAATTTTACAACTTGACGTTGGTATTTTAAACTACAGTAATAGAAAAAAAAACTATACTTTGTTCTTTTTTGGTTTTATTAAGTTTGATATAAAAATAATCTATTTTTAAAATCATTTTTGGTGGTCACCCTAATAATATAAGATTGTTTCTATTAAGCCTGAAATAAATATTATAATTATAGACAGCAGAAAATGCATTTTAGATGTATTAATCACTATAAACATAACTTTAGAATTTTTTATTTATTGCATTAAACTTAATTGGGAATATTCTTATACAACAATGCCGCTTGGCCATTATCTTGATATGATCTGATCCAGTAGATCCAGATGATAGATAAACCTTCATAAAAATCTGCCAATGGCCAGTGTTTGCAGAGTTATTGCCAGTTTTGTGATCACTTACATAGTATTTATAGCATTAAAAAGTGGCGTTTTACACAAAGTATGAGTAATCATCAAAATCCAATGCTATAAACACTATATGTGATTACAAAACTGGCCATAACTATGCAGCCACTGGCCATTGGCAGATTTTGACAATAGATTATTTTGCATCTCAATTTACTGAATCAGATCATATCAAGATAATGGCCAAGTGGCATTGTTGTATAAAAATAGTCCCGATTTAACTAACAACGTGGAAATTAAGCTATTGTTGAATGCATTGTGTATAAGTGTTAATAAATTCAATTCAAAATTACTTTATTCTGTGCAAATTCATCAAATACTCATTTTTATTGTCTAAAACTATAATTGTTAATAAAAATACATAAAATATTATATAAATAGTTATTTATTTTTCTTAATAATCTTATTAACTATTTTTAATTAATTATTTTACATTAAATCGTGTGGTGAGGCATAGCGGTAAGGTTTAATAAACAACATTTTTAATATATGAATTATGGTAACAAATTAATTTCAAGAATAGTGTATAGGCATTTTTTTAAATATTCATTTTTATTTTATTTTGCTTGTTTTATAATTGCAAAACTAATCCTTGGAAATATTATTTTTGTTTTAATGACGTTGCCTAAAACGTGCCAAATTATTGATTAAATAATTAATTAAACTTGTTTTTTGTTTTAATTCAACTTATATTTCATTATTAAGCAATAATTAAAATAGTCGCATACATGAGTTTACAATTAGCTCATTTTATGTGTTGCCAAACTTTTCAAATGACAAAACCAGTCCAAAAAAATTTCAAATTTGTTATAATTAAAAATAATGGCAAATAAAAAATTAAATATTTTATTTGCGCCGCTCTTAGAGGGCGGTCACATGTACTCCGCTATTGGTATCGCAGAGACATTGATAGCTAGTGGACATGAAGTGTGGTTTACTGTCAATAGTTGCTGGTCGGGACAATTGACAAGATATGGCATCAACGAGGTATTGTTGGACCAAATGGACTCACCTTTAGGTACAAGTATAGAACATACGGTCAAAGGTATGAAAACGCGCGAGGTACTAAGCGGCGCATCGCCAGCTCAGAAAGCACGGTATTGTGGACTTAACTTTGAGTTCATTGCAACAAATGTCAAACTCCTGGACAAACAGCTCGAGCGGCCCATATTGACCATTAAACCCGATGTCATTGTATTGGATCAGATGTTAACCGTGCCATCAGTGGAATTGTCGGGTATACCGTGTGTTTGGGTTTGTAGTCACGGACCTCTTTATCTGATGGCAGGATTGGATGAGAGGGCACCACCTTTCGCATCTGGTATGTCAACGCTATCAATGCTAAAACGGCAAAGTTCAAATTATCTATTAACTTGTCTGAACTCCATGTTGTGCAAATCAATATACAATGTACCTTTAAATATATACATTTGTAAATAATCTGCAATTTAAATGATTTATTTTAAGGACTGTCCGCTACGGGAGACCAGAGCTTATGGCGTGAATTTCGGCAAATCGTTAGAAATAGCATTAAAGAGGATTGGATGGCATTTAACGACTATATGATTGATAGGGGCTGCAAACCACTACCCAAATACGCCATGTATAACCCCTTACATTATTTAAATATATACGGCTATCCCCTGGAGTTGGACTATCAAGACATTAGGCCATTGAGTGCAAACTTTATCCGCTTTGATAATCTTATGCGCACCGAAAGTGACCTGACTTTTGTTGTGCCCCGAGAATTGGTCAATAAACCGGGAAAGTTTATCTACTTTTCCCTAGGTCATTTCGGTTCGGCGGATTTAGTAAATATGCGTCGATTGGTCGCCATTTTAGCAAAATCCCCGAATAATTTCATTGTTTCTAAGGGTCCGTTGAATACGGAGTACACTCTGGCCGACAATATGTGGGGCCAGGAGTGGGTCTCACAGATACAAGTTATACGACACATAGATCTGGTCATAACACACGGCGGCAATAATTCTGTCTGCGAAACCATGTTTTTCGGCAAACCGATGATTGTTATGCCTCTGTTTGCCGATCAATACGATAACGCGCAGCGCATTCACGATAAGGGCTTTGGTCTACGACTGGACGCATACAAGTGCTCAGAGGAAGAGCTTTTGGCTGCGATCGAGACTCTCCTGAGCGACAGTGCAATGACTGATTGCTTGGCCGAAGTCTCGCGAAGAATACAAACGGATAATAGTTTAGCAAAATTGCCAAAACTTATTGAAGATTTTGTTCAAAATCCGGACAAATATATTAATACTGTATAATCGGTGATTTACGGTTGTTTTAATGATTAAATGTTTAGTCAACATTTAGCAACAAAAATACTGATCAGAGTTTTATTACATTATAAAACTATTGTAACAATGTTTACAAATATGAGTCTAAATTAATTGTTGACTTAAAAAACACTACTAATTTTTAAAACACGACAAAAATGCTTGCATCAATGTTTAAGAAATTGTCTGAAATACCGTTTTACCCAAATTCTTATATGTGGACATGTTTAA